GCAGCCGAATTATCACCAGTATAGGCAGTAAACTGGAGATTCAGATCTTTTACCAGGAGATCTGCTTTCCATCCGCTCAAATCCGCGATACCTACCGCCCAAATCTGCTGTGGAAAACTCCATCTCCGCCTGCACATTTCCTCCAGATTGCTAATTAAAGAGCGGCGGCGGTTGGTAAAAAAGAGGGAGGAGCGGAGCGATGGAGGCTGCTTCATAAAGAAGGGGAGGAGAGGAGACGGCGCGTCGTTGCCGCTTCGAGCGCAGCTTTGAGGTTTGACAGGGAGGACACGATGGGGATGGAGGCGGCGGTCCATGGTTGCTGCTGTGTTACCGTGTGTGAAGAGAGTGGATAATGGCGAGAGAGTGGAGATATGGGTGAGAGGCGGCGACGGGAAGAACGACAATGGAGGAATGGGTGAGACGACGACGGCGTGGTGGTGGAGACGAGAGTCGGGAGGAAGATAGAATATGAGTTAATGATTTTAGGGTTAGGGCTAGATATGGTGGGGGTATATATAAATTAATTTATTGTAAATAAANAAAATAAAAATAAAAAATATTTTTAAATTATTAATTAAAACCTGAATTTTGAAATATGAAACTTGAATTAGGATATATGAAAATGGTAAGTTAAAAGTAGGGTTGGGTGTAATTTCCTCTTCACTAATTTTTCGCCCCAAGTGGGCCAATGGGCATAATAATCTCAGCCCAACATGATCAAGATTTCGTTGTGAGCCGACTGATGGCCCAGGTTATCTGAATTTATAACTTATTGTCAGTGTTAAGATAAGCCCAAAATAGGCTCAAGATTTAAAGCCCAATTAGCCTAAATAGGTCTAACGGAATGAGCTTAACCTATATATCATCATCCCTGAAACCCTACCAAAGCCGCAGCAACTCTCACTCTCTGTCTTCCTTCAGGTTCGAATACGAATACATCCATACGATTTCATTCCTAATCTGTGTGGCTATTGGTATATTTGCACAAATACGTGCTTGAATCTCTATCTGATAAGTGTATTTTTAATTTGTTGTAACAGGTAAGGTTTGTATTGCAGTCGTCACAAATGGCTCCTGCTAAAGGTATGCATTTTGAATTTTCAGCTAACATGTTATGTTATGTCTTGATGCGGATAGTTGTAATGATTGTGCTGAGTTTTTTTGGTTTAGTAGTATATTTCCATTTATTTCAATTTTAATAAAGAATTACGGTGTATATAGGCGCTATTTGTTAATTAACAGAGCGGTTCAGCTTTTGTAGTTGTGCCCGCTGCAAGAATTATTAGGAACCTGAGAAAATTATTGGATTTTTACTATTCGTGGGAATGTAAAATTTGAAAGGCTTTGTCAAGTTGCCTTCCTCTTATAACTTGTTTTACTAGGATCATCTCCATCTTGTTGGAGCTTCTTAGGACTATGCCTTTCCCTGAATAGCAATTCCTCTTATTGATATGTATTTTTACTCTTTATTTTATCTATTGGAATGGCTATGGGATTATGTTAATATATTCATTTCCTTTACGTTCATTTGCTAAACATTTTCTTTTCCTTGTCCAACGATTAGTATCTTAAAATACAAAAAAGGATTGCTGGTCTAATAATTGTTTTGTGAACTCATAGGTGCGTAGAATCGTTGTATCATTTATTTAATTTGCACTCTACTTTATTTATTAATAAATATCCTAGTAGTGGTTTTTAAAAAACAACCACCAATCACATGTAAATGGCTCCAGCCCTATTCATATGCATCGTGTTCTTTAAAATGTTTCTCCTGTAGTGCTAATCGTACCTAAATATCTATAACAATCACCCTTAAAACATTGACAACGTGATCCTATGTAGTGTCTTCAGTATCATCGTTACTTGTAGTATGACTTGTTCATCATTGGACATTCTTCATTCCGAGTTTAGTACATTATTTTATGTATGGTCACTAAATTTTAATTTCTGGTTATGCGATGAAATTCAGCTGAAGTTATCTGTTCAATCCATGTTATTTGATTATGGCAATTTTTTATGTTTGCCTAATTCAGTTCTATCCTCCATTTAACCTTTTTAACTCTCTCTTTTCTTAGTGCCTTTTGTTTGTGTGTGAAATTATAATATTGTTCACACCATTTCCCAGTTTTGATGCCAAAGTAGAACTACTCTGGAGTTTTATGCAAAGTAAAACATATACGTTTTTGGGAGGTTTATTTTTATTTTGACACGACATATTAAACCTGGAATATGCATTGAATTTTTTATCCTGCTCAGAACAACGGCTTGCATTTAGTTTTACAAACACCTATTATTCTTGCTTGTATGACATTGCATTTGTTATGTCTATCTTATCATTCTATTTTTGTTTGGACAGTGGATAGTACGAAAAAGGCTGATCCCAAGGCTCAGGCCTTGAAGACTGCGAAGGCTGTGAAAGCAGGTTCTTCGGCAATCAAGAAGAAATCAAAGAAGATCATCACAAAAGTTACGTTCCACAGGCCGAAGACATTGAAGAAGGACAGAAACCCCAAGTACCCACGCATCAGTGCTCCTCCAAGGAACAAATTGGACCACTACCAAATTCTCAAATATCCTTTGACTACTGAGTCTGCAATGAAGAAGATTGAGGATAATAACACCTTGGTTTTCATTGTTGACATCCGCGCTGACAAGAAGAAGATCAAGGATGCAGTAAAGAAGATGTATGACATTCAGACCAAGAAAGTGAATACTTTGATCAGGTAATTATTCTTAGCTTGTTTGTACGGACCTTGAGATTACAATTCACACCGGACAGACCTGAAGGTCGATGGTTTCTTCCACATTATTAAACTCATCGCAATCTAGAATAAGATGCTTTTTAAGTAGTTGTTGACCTATGAGTTATTGATAATTTGTTTTTGGTGAAGATATGAACTCCTGTTCGTGCTCTTCATTCATTAGTTTATTTCTGAAAATATTTACATTCTTAAAGATTTTTCGAGATGATTGTTACTGTTTGTTTTGTGATGCAGGCCTGACGGAACCAAAAAAGCCTATGTTCGGTTGACTCCAGATTATGATGCATTGGATGTAGCGAACAAGATTGGAATCATCTAAGTTTGACTTGATTAATCATTTTAGCTTGTGCTGAGACAGACTTGGTAATCGACCGTTGTTAGTTTTGATCTTCAGTACTGTTTTATTTAGTTTATTGCATGAATGTTTTCAATTACTATTATAAACCTGCCTGGCTTCAACCTTGTGCATTCATATTGTTGGTTGGGCATTATACCATACAAGTTAAACTCCAAAAAAATTAAATATTTTCAGCAGTTAAATTCAAAAGTTGCCTACAATTAATGGATACGTGAACATTGAAATAGTATCTAAACTAAAGGTTAGATGAGAAATTACACCTTTTTCACACCACAATTTCGAAACAGGTTGCATCTTCCCCACTAATAATGAAATGATAACAATGCTAGGTAACAATGTTAAATAAGTGGTGAATCATCTGTAGTCGTGTGCATGTTAGGAAAAAAATTACGAGTTCCTTACAATTTGAAGTCATAGTCAAACATTAATCATAAGAGAAATCATAAAGTAAATTGTTGGCTTGCAACAAAAACCTAACCTGTTGTAGGGTATACTGAAAAGAATGATCCAAATATATTGGCCACATCAAGACCAAATGACTGTTAGTAAGTCTATAAAATAGTGAATCAATGTATAGTTCTCTTCTTCCAAATTTAGCATAACTTGTCTGAGAGTACAAAGGAAAATAGTGCATTATATTGCAATGTACTAAGCTTTTTATATCTTGTCACTAACTGGCTGTTTATATCATGATTGTGGAATGACATGGTTCACTAAAGAAAATCTACAAAAAAATAAAATCATTCTACTGCTTTAAGAAATTATATCATTTAAAGGAGCCCCACGGCAGTCAATAGCTTATCAATATAACATTAAGGGGATGTTTACACATCCCATATTTTGCCATTGGAATTGCAGATGTTAGATGCATCCTACTACGAATTAAGCCTTTTTTGTTTACAATTTTAATGAAAATTTGTATCGTTGCAATGAGAATCAGCCGCTTTTGTTGACCAGTTTGTCTCACAGTGGGACCATTTGTTGAAAAAAAGGGGTCAAAAAAATCATTCTTCTGTTAAAATAATGAGAAACAAATGGATCCTAAATATAAGGTCTAGGATTACCGAACAGTGATTTCATGTTAAGCTGATACTTGACAGGAGTACTGGTAAATGCAGTTATCATAGTTGAGGAAATTTCAGACTTCGGGCCTCACGATTTGAATCTGAGAGCTTATTTGTCTACCATTATGGGGAGGAAAATGGAGTAATGAATAGTGTTTTTTGGAGAATGTGTGGTTGAAATTTAAAGTAACTTTATTGGTTTATGTATAGAATATTTTATTGGGTGAATATGTGATGGAGATTGTTTACTGTAGAAAACAATTTTTTAGATAATGGTAGACAAACAGGGGCTAACTCATATCCATTCTTTGCTGCCAGTGCTTTGGCAATTCCTACAGATTCCTATATAAAAAATGTATGTGATTGAGTAGACCTGTTCTATCCAGAAAAGAAAAAGAAAATGGACATTACATTAACAGAAACTGAATAAACTCTCTCTCGCTAAAATTGCCACACCAGTAATGAGCGTTGCTGTTGGAATCAAAGATATTACGTGCCCAAATTCCTTATGGACGGACAGTTTAGGCTGCCCTTGAGGTATTTCTCCAACCTAAATTAGCAATTGAAAATTCTTCAAGTGCTGACTATAGTTTTGCCAAATTCAGATACTCGGTGATAAACAACTCAGGATGATAATTAATTGTTCTATATGGTACTGCATTCGCAGTTTATCAATCCAAGTTATTCTCACCAATGTAGTTGAAGATTGACAATAAATTCTCACAAAGGTTGTACCCAAAACAACAGCAGTAATATTTCCTTATTTTCCCATTGTCCAGAACCAAACAAAGCACGGACAATTTAAAGAGGTATAAAAACAGAAAACGAGTAATCAATAGCCAACTCAACTCATACCAGGTGCTTCATTGTTAGGATAATAGCAAGAATGATAGAGCCCGTAACCAAAGGAAGCCACAAGAACTGCAAAAAGAAAAGACAATCAATGGTCAGAACGTCAAAGGTAAGTTAAATTTAGAGCGACGGAGAGGGGAGGGGGAAGAGCTGAAGCATAAAGGAAAAAAGTCCCAAGGAATTATATCTATGTACTGAAACCTGAAGAATATAGATTGCACTTCACTAAAGACAACTACAAGAAATCATATTATATAAACTTCATCTTGTAAAGTTTCACATTGAAAAGGAGTAGGATAAATTTCCACCAATGATGTGTAAAATAGAGCCCTCTCAGACTAATCTCTATTAATTATGAAGTTTGTAAGTACGTGCAATAAAAAATATAATTGAAGCAAGTTGGTGAAATTTGGCTTGATCACCTGTGCTGTCACTTGGTTCTTTGGAAAAAAAATAGTCTTCAAACTCTTCGTCTTATTTTATAAGGTAGTGTATATGCTGGAATTTTGCTTGTATTTTGTAACAAAGGCATTTCAATAACTCTGTGTTAACATTACATGCATAAATAAAATAGTGAGTTATACAAGTTAAGACTGTAACAAAACTCAATCTATGTATTTTCCCCACCTGAGTTCATTGTCACTTACACCGATGATAATATCTATTTTACAATGTCACTTTTTATGTACTAGGCAGGTAGGTGTCAAATGTTACTTCCAATGATTTCCTCACCCCATGAGTTAGAACAATAATTTCCTCAAAACATTTTGCATTTCTTATCTTTCGAGAGCGATTATTCAGACAAGGGCTCCCCTATGTAGGATTCCTGCTTATGTCTCGTCTGCAGAAGACATATACGTGTTGAGGAACTGACTGCAATAAAGAGGTAATTTTTGAACAAATGCAGAAGACACGTTTCACTAGAGAATTCATAATAATCATTGCACGAAGATGCAATTTCTGGGTGATATTTTTATTTTTATTTTTGAGAAATAGGTGTATAAATTTGCAGACGATGTGAGAGTTTTATGAAAAGGTTAAAAGTTTCTCTTTCAAATTGAGTTTTAATGTTGATTGCAATATTGAGTAATCTTTGGAGTCCAAAAGGGAAGATCATTTTTTACTAATTTTGAATTGCATGAAATTAGGGGCATGTTGTGTAAATTTAGTTATAATGTGTAATTTGTACTTATTAAAAAAAAAAAATCATTTTTACTACACACTAATAGTATTTCTTAAATAAAACAAGCTGGGTAGTAAAATTGGAATTATGTTTTAATAGGGGTTATTGGGTGAAATTTCCGAAATACATCTACATATATTAAAATGGAGGATTGACGAGAAACTTTTGAATACTCAATTTACCCTTACATATTTAATTATATACATAATATACCCTTATTTAATTTTAGTTTTGTTAATAATCAATTAATAACGTTAATTCCTCACATATTTAGCTATATACCCAATATAACCTTATTTAATTTTAGTTTTGTTAATAATTAATTAATTATATTAATTCAATTTATTCAACATGAAATTAAAAAAAAAAAATCATTTTTTCCATTGTGAATATTTCCCTAAATTAATATTTTAAATATTATATTAATTTTTATTTACAGCTTTTATTTTAAAAAAATAACTTAAATGTCTTCCCTCGTTTGAATTAGTCTATTTAAAAAATATAAAATACACATTCTCTGATTCAAATGGTTGTTTCATTTGATTGTTTCACACATATCGTAACAACTAAATAATGAAAGACGACTATTTTATAATTAAAATTTAATGTAAATAAATGAGAAGGAAGATGCAGCGCTGCTTTTGTGTTAATACATACAATGTGTAATAAACATAATTAAGACATTATAGTTATAAAAATCGACCTTTCTTATTCTAGAATTGTTGTCAATAAAAGTAATTTGTTGTGGACTAAAGGTAAGAACTGTTATCAATTAAAAAAATTTGTTGTGGGCTAGAGTTTCTCAAAACTCGAAAATAGCTTAGATGATGCTTATGTATGTGAATGTATTCATGTGGAGCATTGACGTTTTGGAGAAATTGATTTGCGTGGGACAAATTCTATAAAAAATAGTTGTTTTCGTCTTTAACGAAATTTTTGATTTTGTTAAAAAGATAATGTAATTTTTTTTTGCTCTCTATTTTTATTTTTTAATTCTTTTAGTAATATCCATCTAAATGATGAACATAACCTACTTATATATTGATGAGTATTGTGATTTTTTTTTCTTGCAATTAGTTAAGTTTGGTTCGTATTTCAATTTAATTTTTAATATCATGGATTTAATTGTATGAAATTTCTGTTTTAGATTATTTATACCACGAATCATCTTAATTGTATATATACATCCGTTTGGAATGTCCTAAGCACATGACAACTCGGCAGTATTATTGTCTCATCATGTTGATGCATATATGTATTATTTTTTATTCATATTTTTGAATTTGTGGAGTCATATTTGACTGGATATCTCTATGTCAGATCTCTTTCCACCATTGTGACTCATCTTTAGCTTGACGATTTATATTTTTAATATTTCTAATTCCATGGTTTTTATTTAATTGTTTTATTATTTATTAAACTATGATTTAATAATTACTTTTAAGGGGAGATGAGGGGACATTGGAAAAGATGCGATATTTTGAACTTGGATAATTAGGATTTTGTTGAAACGTGAACAACATACACTTTGTATTGGTCTTTGACTCTTTTTTTATATTAAATAAAATTATTTGAGATTTTTTTTTCATATTTACCCAATTTTCGATATTAAACAAATTTTAAAATGTTAAATCATAATTAGCATATGTAGCTACATCATATTGGTATCTGAAGACAATCATATTATTGATAAAGACATGTGTTGTATGATATTATATTTGTATGACATGTCATATATTTGCTATATGATTTTTTTTTTGTATGCCAGAAACATCACAAATGAATACATCAATGTCGAAAACACTAACAGAAACGAGGTCTAATTCATCAATAGATCAACAAAATGAGTCAGGTCATCAGTT